GCTACTCAGAGGCGAAAACCGATTGGTAGTAGGTGACTTCAATGCGCACCACGATCTTTGGCACTCAAGCCAAACACCATGAACGACGACGCCCCCACCAGGATTGTGGGCAGCTGCAGCAGCTCGCCAGACNAGAGACGGAGCTTCAGTTACCTAGAGAGACCCGCGTTACCCTGGCTCAGTTACGGTCTGGATATTGTAGCCGCCTAAACAGCTACCTGTCCAGACTCGACACAAACATCCAAAATGAGTGCCCGGCATGTGGAGACTCCCCCCACGACACCAACCACCTCTTCACATGCCAGCTCAATCCGACTCAACTAACACCTCTCTCCCTTTGNGCTTCGCCGCCCTCCCCACACCCACAGACGTACATGCTGGCGAACGCCAGTTCCGCAAGGTAGCCACAGCCGCAGCAGCTCGCTTCATACCGTACGGACGCATCGCGGAAGTCCGCCCAAATTTCCCGGCTGAAGCAGCTGTACTAGCAAATGAGCGTGACCACCTACGCCAGGTCGACCCCGGNCAACAACCGATAGTACTATTCTATATACTATATCAACTATATAAATATTATTGGTAATTCTCTAGTGTAGGGTAACAACCCCTAAAAAAGGTCCGGAAAAGTCGGGAGGGGTACAAAACGGGACGTTTCGGCCCCCTATTAACAATCCAGAGGGGGAAGGCTAATATTATTAACCATTTAAAAGTTATGAACAAAAAACTTTTGTTAAATTTCGTTGTTTTATATGGGCAATTATCGACAAAGATTCACTAAATCACCTGTTCTCACTTTTTAAACACTTAAAATAATTAATTTAACTTATTTATTAAACAAACATAGTTTTGTCAACCTAAGATAGATTATTTTGTTATTAAAAAGAAGTAGACAATCTTTCGTTTAATATATATATAAATAATGAAAATTTTTAAAAAATCGCGCGGTTTTTTATTAAAAATTTTCGCCTGCGGCGCCTTTTCCATAAAAATCAATACGCGATTTTTTAAAAATTTTCATTTATATATATATTAAACGAAAGAAGATACCGAAAAGCATTGAACAGTGCACACACCTTATAAGGAAAAGTGAATTATTACGAAATACTAATACAGTAGCAGCACTATAGCTATTTTGGAATCTCGCGTTTCAGTTGGAAAAGATTGTCAACTTCTTTTTAATAACAAAATAATCTATCTTAGGTTGATAAAACTATGTGTTTGTTTAATAAATAAGTTAAATTATATATTTTAATAGTGTTTAAAAAGTGAGAACAGGTGATTTAGTGAATCTTTGTCGGTGTAATTGCACATAGAAAACAACGAAATTTAACAAAAGTTTTTTGTTCATAACTTTTAAATGGTTAATAATATTAGCCTTCCCCCTCTGGATTGTTAATAGGGGGGCCGAAACGCGTCGTTTTGTACTCCTCCCGACTCCTCCGGACCTCTTTTAGGGGTTGTTACCCTACACTAGAGAATTACCTTAAAAGGTAAGGAATATATAAAAGGTTAAAGAAAATTTTTGTGATATCTGAAAATATTAATATTTTCTAAACTACGTAACCGATTAAAAAGGTAATAATATCAAAATAGGGATTATAACCCTTACCAAATAGAATTCTCCTTTTGGAGTGCACCAACGGGCTGGCGGAGCAGATAGACGATTCGACATTCTGCACAATTAACGACGACGCACCCACCAGGATTATGGGCAGCTGCTGCAGCTCGCCAGATGTAACAATTGCCAGCGCTGGTCTGATAAACAGCGTATCATGGCGACCTATGCTGACCCTAGCATCAGACCATCTGCCCATATTCATCTCGATTGATAAACCTGCCGACATTGATTCAGTGGATCACCGGACCTATGTCAACTTCTCCAAAGCTGACTGGAAAGGCTTCGCGGATGTTACTGTAGGCGCCTTCACTGCACTGTCCATACCAACCGCCGTTCACGTAGGTGAACGTAAATTCCGCAGGGTTGTGCCGTTGAGCGCGACAACCTTCGTCAGGCCGATCCCGGAAATCCCCGTATCAGGGATCTCAATTCGGAGATTCGGCAACTTGTGAACGTACATAAGCGGAAGAAATGGGAAGAGCATTTGAAGACCTGCAACTTCGCCTCTAGTATCAGCAAGCTTTGGTCAACCGTGAGGTCGTTGTCCAACCCGAAGAAGCGTGACGACAGAGTCGCAATAGACTTTGGTGACCACGCTTCGTCATACCCGGAGCGATGCGCGAGCTATTTTAGGCGGCAGTTCATTCTGCATCCTCCGGTGGATAAAGCCAAACGTCGAGTGACCAGAAGGCTGCACAAACTGCCAAAACCTAGTGCGCCTCGTGTTTTCACCAGCGGTGAGGTAAGGGTAGCCCATCGGGAAGGCGAAGGCCTCCAAAGCCATTTAACCCGACGGAATTTGCATGTTGATGCTAAAAAGTAGCGTACCTAACGGAGGTCCTCAATCTGTCAAAACCCACTGTCGTCATTCCAGGCATCTGGAAGATGGGGAGAGTGGGCCCACTGCTCAAACCGGAGAAACCTGCCAACAAAGGAGAGTCTTATCGTCCGACAACCCTCCTTTCCCCGGTAGCGAAGACACTAGAGGCCTTGCTACTACCGTATTTTACGAACCACATGACGCCAGCGAAGCATCAGCATGGGTTCCGTAAAGTGCATATCACAACAACAGCACTTAACGCCATAAATACCCAGATAACTCGGGGCCTTAACCGACACCGCCCCTGTGAGAGAACCATTCTAGTAGCGATGGGCCTGTCTAAGGCGTTCGACACTGTCAGCGCTATTCAGCGCTACTAGCAGACATAGAAGCCTCCTCTCTCCCACAGGAACTCAAACGGTGACCGGCGAATTATCTGAGTGGTCGTAACTCGTCAGTAACTTCTAGAGACAAATCGAGCAAACTTAGGAAAATAAAACAGGGGGTTCCACAGGGTGGT